AATTATAAATTGTTTAGATCATTTAGGTTTATTCAGTTACCCGATCAAATAAACCGATTATTTCAGGTTTTATTTTGGTCTAGGGCAAAAATCATTAAAAATATTGCATTTCGAGTGCACATTAGTGCTAGATTGATTGCACATTAATGACTGTCATATTGCACTTTATCGACACAATCGACCAAACTAAATTCGTTGAAAATGCATGTGTGCACGATAGTGTTAAAAAAATTACACATTAATGACTATCATATTGCACGAATAGCGACAAAATCTGAACATATTTGTTTCAAATTGGAATTTTATATTTCAACCAGAATACCTATTTTTCACTATCAATATATCATTTATTTCGGGTTAATGTCATTTTTTGTCTTTACTAACCAAACTAACTTAACCATATAAAATATTATTTATATCTATATATAATTTTTTGAAATTATATTTTTTTGTTCAGCCATAACCAAAATAAATGATATTAAAATATAACTATATAAAACTTGATATTATTATTATTATTATTATTATTATTATTATTATTATTATTATTATTATTATTATTATTATTATTAGTATTATTATTATTAGTAGTAGACAATTAAACATTTTCGCCCGATTAGTCTTTTGAATGTTGTATACAAACTTATGATGCCTTCATCGGTTTGACTTTTAGCTATAACAAGAATAGCCTTAGAAGATCTTTCTTATTATTATTATTATTATTATTATTATTATTATTATTATTATTATTATTATTATTATTATTATTATTATTATTATTATTATTATTATTATTATTTTAACATTTAAGTACGGTTTTATTTTCTGTTGCGGCAAAAGTTCGATCAATTTCGTTAACATATTAAAATTGTGCAATCTAATTATTAATATTGTGTACTTTTAAATTTTTAATAATTACCAATTTAACACATGAAATCAGTTGAAAATATACTTAATTTCCTTAATTTGCAAACAAACCCCTATAAGATATCTAATTTCTAAATATATGCCACCAATATGAAACGCACGCAAGCCACAAAAACACCAACATCTTCACTCAAACATTCAGCCGGTGACCGCTGGAAACGCGTCGATGACCATCAGTCGGTCCCAGCCGGACTGAAATCGAACACAAACCTCAAATCGATTTACCGAAATATGAATTTAGGTGTTTACAATTGGTGCACAATTTAGGTATTTACAATTCGTGTAGAAGACGAGTGGTTTAGGAAGACATGATGGCTACTGTGGCGGATTTAATATGAGACAATGGAAAAGGTGATCTATGATATTTCCCTTTGAAACAAGAGTCACACTTCTTTATTTGGTCAATATCAGCTTGAGTACACAAAGATTTCAAAAAAGGTAAATGCTCAAAAACACCTACTGAGGCATGTCCTAAGACTTGATGCCAAAAGTACATGGAATTGTTATCAACAACAGAAGAACAAGGTATATTCAGGTTGGAAGAGGAGTGATACACATTGTTTTGAAGTAGGTAGAGTTTCCCCACTAGATTTCCCATGGCCAAAGTCTGGTGTGTTTCAAGGTCCTGTAGAAAACAAATGTTTGGTGTAAAAGTGCATATCATCTGAGATTGAAGTGTAAGCTGAGGAATTGAGAGGAGATTATATTTGAAATCTGGTATATAAAGAACATCATGAAGGGTTATAGTGGGTGATATCTTAACAGATCCTCCATGAGTTACCCTAGAGGAATCCCCATTAGATAAATGTACATGTATGGCAGGTTGGAGTGAGTTAAGATCATGAATGAGAGATATATCTATGCACATATGCTTACTTGCACCAGTATCTAGTACCCAAGAACCTCTATGTACGCCTTCAATTGTACTTAATGCATAATGTGTAGAATCAATACTTGCTGAGTTGACAAAATGAACATAATCTGACTCAGTCAGAAGCTGTGAATTGATAAAAAAAAAAAAAACAAAACGTATAAAGCATCTAAATAAAGCACAGAGAGCTCAGAAATGTTTCACCATCGCCATATTTTCATTAAGCTAAAAAATGTGAAGAAGATGACAAAAAATAGTATCAAGCTTCTTCTTGTTAGGTAATGATCTCAGCCGTACACGTGGCTGAAATCTCAACGGTTCAAAACAACACAAGGAAAAATGCTAAACACGCTTGTATAAGAGAAACGCGTCTTTTAGGAAAAATAAAAGAAAAATTATGAAACATATGTCTGCCAGTAGAAAACATGGGCCATTACTTCTACACCCCCTCCTCAAGCTGGACTTGAGGCTAAAGAAACCAAGTCGAGCATGCACAAAAGCTAACAAAAACGAGGTCCAGGGAGAAGGTTGGTGAAGATGTCTGCCAATTGGAGTTTTTTATAGACATGAAGCAGAAGAACAAAACCTTCTTTGCACTTGTCAAGGACAATATGGCAGTCAATGTCAAGGTGTTTGGTGCGCTCGTGGAACATCGGATTGGCAGAAATGTGAATGGCGGCTTGATTGTCACAAAAGAGAGCAATAGGCAGTTGCACAACAACATGAAACTCAAAACATATATAAGATATCCATTGAAGTTCATGGACTGTACTACTCAAGGAGCGATATTCGGCTTCAACCGTAGACTTGGACTCCGTGCACTGTTTCTTGCTTTTCCAGGAAATGAGAGAAGTGCCAAGAAGCACACAATAACCGGTCACCGACCTCCGAGTATCCTTGCAAGCTTCTCAGTCAGCATCCCCATAGGCCGAGAGAGTAAAAGATGAGGTAGTAGAATAGAATAATCCCATACGAGAAAACTACGGAGGTATTGCAGGACATGTAAGGCAGCCTTCCAATGATCTTTACAAGGATGAGTAACAAACTGACTCAGTTGTTGAACTGAATACGTAAGATCAGGCCTGGTCAAGTTTAAATATAAGAGACGGTCGATCAACCTTCTATATTTCTCAGGATCATCAAGTGGAACTCCCTAATTAGCTGTAAGAGTAAGTCCATGTGTCATAGGAGTGGAAACAGGTTTGCAAGAGTCCATGTGAACAGAAACAAGAAGATCCTGGATATATTTTTGTTGGCTCAAAAAAGTTCCTTCAGTGCTCCTTGAAATTTCCATCCCCAAGAAATATCTAGCAGCCCATAAGTCCTTGATAGTGAAAAGATCATGTAGATAAGTCTTCAGTGAATCTGTGGTTGACAAATTTCTACCTGTGATTAGCAAATCATCCATATTTACTAAAACAGCCAGAAAAGAAGAATCACTTGCAAATGTGAATAAGCAATGATCATAAGCTGACTATTTCATCCCATAGCCCAACAATTTAGAAGTGAACTCTTGGTTCCATTCACTCGAGGCCTGCTTAAGGCCATATAGACTTCTTTTTAACATGCAAACCTGAAGTTGCTTTAGTATATTCATCGAGTGGTTTCATTTAACCCTCTTCATGAAGGTAACCATGAAGGAAGGCATTATTCACATCAAAGTGCATAAGAGGCCATCCTTTGATAGTAACAAATGCAACAAAAAATCTCACAGTAACCATTTTCACCACAGGAGAAAACTATTTGTATAGTCAATCCCAAAAACTTGATTGAACCCTTTGGCTACTAATCTGACCTTATATCTTTCCACAATCCCATCCATTTTCATTTTCACCTTAAAAACCCATTTACTACCTATTGCCTTCTTTCCTTTTGGCAAAGTTCTCAATTCCCAAGTATTATTTTTCTCCAAGGCAGCAAGCTCAGTATTGATAACATCACCCACTGTGCTTGGGTACAAGATTCATCATATGTAGTAGGTTCTTTAATACTAGACACTTGATGCAAGTAATCATGAAATACAGGATTATATCTAACATGCTTAATGAGTGGATCAAGTGTATGAGCTAGGATATCCTGGACAGAGTAAACTACATAGTCATTGAGCCAAGCAGGTGGTTTTCTTTGCCTCTTAGGAATTCCTAGATCAGAATCAGATTGGGATACATGTGAAGGCAATTGTGAATTAGTAAGTATAATGTCATTAGCCTTAGAATGAGAATTCCCAGTCACCTGTGGTAAAGGGACCTCAGTTTCTAATGTCACTGAGAAGTTTTGTGAGTAAGGATATTCATGTGGCAAAAAAGTGACATCCCGAGAAAAAAAAAAAAAAAAAAAAAAAAAAAAAAAAAAAAAAAAAAAAAAAAAAAATTGTGAGTGGCCAGGTCATATAGATGATATGCTTTCTTACCAGGAGTGAAAGCCAAAAAAATGCATCTATGAGCTCTTGGTGCAAACTTAGATTTATTTGGAGAGACATTTGATGCATAGGATAAGCACCCAAAAGGTTTAAGTATTGAGTAATCAGGAATGTCAAAGGGAGTCTGCCATTTGAGTATGTAAGAGTGTAATCTGATCCTTGAGAACTGTTTTTTGAAGTGAAGGATTGAACTTCTGCTTTCTCAATAACCACATTTGCATATCCCTTAGGCCTTTGTTGTTCCTTTAGTTTGTTGTACCAATCAGGTACACCATGCAGTTTGAAACACTGTGTCATCTCATGTCCTAGTATATTGCAATACTCACATAACAATTTTGCCTTCTCTTCCTTAGTCCTCCTGTAGCCTCCTATGCCCCTATTAGGTCCCTTGTTGTTCACAAATTGTCCTCCTCTCCCTGAATAACCTCTTCTAGAGGTATTTCTCACCATAGCCGAACTTTCAAATTGACTATTGTATATCAAACTTGTAGTTTTCTGTTGCTCTACCCTCACCAACATAGAGAAAGCTTTGTCCACTTCAGGTAGAGGTTCCATAAGAAGTATCTGATCTTCATTCTCAATTACATTCTTTCATATTGCACAATTACAAACAGTAAGACTCTTCAGATTTTCAAATTGATCCCACAGACGTTTGTTCCTGGAAAATTACTCCGTTATGACCTTGAACAATGCTAGCAATCTCTCTCTGCAGCTTATACAATAATGGTCCATTGCTTTGACCATACCTCTTAGCTATGCTCTCCCAAAGTTCTTTAGCATTGTTCACATAAACAAAATTTCAACAATATCCTTAGACAGCGTATTCAGGATCCACGAGGTAATCATATAATCACTTTTCTTCCAAGTATCATAGTTCTCATCCATTTCATCTGGTTCGGGGATCTTACCATTTACAAAACCGAGCTTTGATTTAGCTCCAAGCGCGATCGTCATCGCCTTTCTCCATGGAAGGTAGTTAGCTCCTGTTAGCGGATGAGATACTAAGATCATGCCTGGATTATCCGAGTTCTGAAGTTGAATCGGATCCTCGATGCCGAGATTCGACTTAGCTGTAGATCCCTTTCCATCGCCCGCAGTGAGTAGCGGCCATTTTGCATTATTCCAAGGATTCACCATGCTCAATTAGATCTACCTACGCTCTTGATACCATGTGAATTGATAAAAAAACAAAACATATAAAGCATCTAAAGAAAGCACAGAGAGCTCAGAAATGTTTCACCATCGCCATATTTTCATTAAGCTAAAAAATGTGAAGAAGACGACAACAAATAGTATCAAGCTGCTGCTTTTTGGGAAATGATCTCAGCCGTACACGTGGCTGAGATCTCAACGGTTCAAAACAACAAAAGGAAAAATGCTAAACATGCTTGTATAAGAGAAACGCGTCTTATAGGAAAAATAAAAGAAAAATTATGAAACATATGTCTGCCAGTAGAAAACATGGGCCATTACTTCTACAGAGGCAGAAGAATCACAGGAAAAAGCTTGTTCGGCAGCGGCGCTAAGTACAGTGGTGGATTTCGTGACGTCGAGGAGGCTGACGTCGACGTATACCGAAGTCTTTCTGCTGTCGTGGGGTGTGTGGTTCCGCCATCAACCATCACTGGGATGTTGTGTGAGCGACGCTGCGGGAGGGAGAGAGTTGCGAGCGAGAGAGAGTTACACAGGTGGAGATAGAAAAACAATGTGAGGAGAGGAGATTTAACCGATATTTGTGTGTGGGTGAGCCCAATTGTCATATGTAGTAAATGTGTAATGTCCATATTATCCTTAATTATTGGTTAAATAGGTACATTTGATCATAATGTATTTTAATTTACAGTATTGCCATTAATAATTGACTAACTTTTGACTTGATCATAACCAATGACACATATACATTCTTATTTCTTTCACTATCTATCATTCTCATATGATCTATATACATTCTTATGATCTATATACATTCTTATGACACATATACATTCTTATTTCTTTCACTATATATATATATAGAGAGAGAGAGAGAAGAGATCATATGAGAATGGTTGATAATGAAAGAAATAAGAATGATCCTCTACCATTATATCCGACATATTAATGGTTTTTATTGAGTCAAATCTTAAATATGGCAGTCAAACATCACATGACAATTTAGTAAATAAGTGATCATATTATGATCAAATATTTATATTTGACCACTTAATAAGGACATTTATGTCATATCACAAAATTCTCATCTAACACCTACTTGTGGGTTCCACAATCTCTTTCCTTCACACAATATACATACGATTCACTTTTCACACATACACAAATAAATAAGATCTCACATACAGCACACAGTCACCAAAACCGCCACCGAACCGACGCAAAAGCCCCCTCCCGTCGCCACCAACAACCATACCAGATTTCGACATAGACAACCGCCGCCACCGTTCGCAGGATGTCCGACCACGGCTTCAATGAACTCATCTCCAGCGACTCCAGCCTATCATGTCCGACCACGCCATAACAGCGCCACCGCCCGACCTTCACAACGCCGCCACCCGGCCATAACAGCACCGCCGCCGACCATTAAATCGTTTTCGTCGCTATTAAAGCATTGTCACCGGCCATAATAGCTTCGCCACCCCACCTTTGAAGCGACGCCGCCGGCCAGCAAAGCACCACCACCACCTCAAGTATTGACGACAACGTCACTGTCGACAGCAGCCCGCCACAATCGTCACCTACCAGCCGGCTGCCCGTCAACAACCCCGCCACCACCGCTTCCAACAACCCCGCCACCAACGTCGCAACTCGTAGCCCCCACCAGATCCGTCTGCAACACTGAAAAACGTTGCCGAGGCCGCGAAATGACCCTCTGAACCTCCAAACTGACCTTCACTGCGAGAGCCTCCATGCCGACGAGGGTGACGGGCGGGAGGGATGAGGATGGCAGCCTCTCTACCTGGAAGAGACGAGGACAGTGATGTGATCTGTTTTCAAATTGTTAGATTTGATTTGTGGTTCTAGTTTTGAAAATTAGAAAAATATGGGTGACCTATTAGCAATTTTTGAAATTTGATATGTTGTTGCACATGGAATTGGTCAAATTGGTCAATATTTGTTCAATATCATTATGTAAAAATACACAATATTACATGAAAAATGCATATTAAAAAAAATAATTATATTATTATGTAATTACATATTTGTTATTGTTTACACAATTAAAAGTTAACAATCTTATCAAAATGTACAACCATTAGAGTCGTTAATAGGTTGGTTCACTCGAGCCGACTGATTGAAGTAACAAAATTAAGATAACTGAGATGAACTCTCAAAAACAAACGAACAAAAATAAATTTGACATTAAACCCACATAACTGAACTTTTAAAATTAAAAAATAGATTATCAAACCGATATATAAATAGTGGGACCTAAATTTTTTAGGTCTGACAATTAGTTGATAATATGCAATGATTCGATTGATATTATGCAATTCGATAGTCATTAATGTGCAATTAGGGTAACTCGAATGTGCACTAACAGTATATAGAAAATACAAATAAAAAAATAATAATATTTTTTATATAGTTCGGTCGGTTCGATTATTTTGTTTATCTTAAAAAATAAAGTCGACATCGAACTAAAATAACGTGAGTTTAAAAGTAAAAACGGATAATCGAACTGAAATACAAATTTTTTAACCGATAATTTTAGTTTGTTTGGAGTTTATCGTTATTGTTGGAGAAATATTTTTTTCTTTATATTCAAATTATATTTCAAAATTAATAGTTTTATTTATTATTTTTATATTAATTTTTGGTTTAATTTTTTTTTATTTTGGTCAGTTTCGTTAACTATTTATGAAATCTGATTGTAATGCTGTAATCATCCAACTCAGTAATCCAAAGTAAGACACCTTTAAACCGCGTTGTTATCATCCGACTCGGTAAAGCACAATTAAGGACCTTAAACAGCACCATAAGCAAATTTGACTCAAACACCGATGTAACTTAGAGTCATCCCGGTTCGCACAATAAACCAGTACGACCCTAGAAGACCGAAGTGATCCCTACCCGCTGAGGTCATTCCAAACCGAGGTCAACATGAACCGAGGTCGTCATATCCTAAAGCAGGTGACAAGGCGCCTACATGCCCCTATCACAATCTACGAGATTTATCATCATTCACGTAGGGCCCACTGATTCAGCCGCCCATCAAAAGTGGCCTTTTCTAAAAAGTAATGCACGGATCCCAATGTATGTATCAAAAAGTTACTATAAATAGCTAGCTAGTGATACCTGTACGGGATCCGAATCCGGACCCAAAGAGCAACATACAACATTTACAATGCAACATGCAACAACCCACAGAGGCTTTTCACCTCGGTCCACCTCGGACCGGGGCCACTGTTGAGTCGTTCGCACATATTTTACGTCCAAACCACTCGTAATTATCACATAAATACATTATTAGATCGTTGTCAAGAATCATACGACAACAGTTTGGCGCTAGAGGAAGGGCCCTCATAAGTGATTTGAGGTTACTATCCGACTCTTGTTTAGGCGATCCACATCAACCATATCAATCATGTCTCATTCTGATCATCGTGGCCATACTTCACGAGATGGCCACAGTCGCAGTGCTGCGCAATCCGCCCGACGACCAGTCGTAGCCCCCCATATACCAGATTATACTGTTCTGTTCCAAAATCCAGAGTTTGCACGTGGGTTCGCTACCTTGATGGCTCAAACGATCCTTGGAGCATCAACGACTGCCCCAGGACATTCCATAATACCCACAACACCTGCAAATCCGCAGAATCCACCGGCACGGCAAGACGGCGGAAGGACCACATCTCACGCCACGTCTCAACCCCACAGTCGAGCGTTGCAGCCGCCTCCAGAACAAACCACGCGTCGCACCGACGTTGGACGCAATCCCCAAGTGCTTCCTCATGAAGAAACTGCTGAAAGTCAGTCTGGACATTCACGACGATCGCCACCTCATGCGCGACACCGAATCCCTTCCAACCCGGAACAACCGACATTCGGCAACACATTGAAAGAAATCGGGCTCGTCAAGAATCATCCGAACTTGAAACATTACGACGAAGAATTTCCGAACTGGAAAGTCGGCAACGGGTACCCGAAGACCCCCCTCGGCGGGCCTCAACTTCGGCACAAGTATATCTTGAAGCCGACTCCCCTCTCACACCAGAGCTCACTTCGGAACTTGTACCTGGGAAAGTTAAAGTCCCTCAAATTGGGTTATATAATGGAACTTCAGACCCCGACTCACACCTCGGTCACTATACTTCGTGGATGGATCTGCATGGGGCCTCAGACGCACTTCGGTGTCGTATGTTTTCTCTCACGCTGGGGCCTCGGGCCCAAAAATGATGCCATTCTCTTCCTCCTCACTCTATTTGGAAGTGGCAACAATTGAGGTCGGCTTTCCGATCTCATTTCATCGGGGCCCAAGTCTGTCTAACTCCAAAAGAATCTCTCGCAAATGTAAACAAAAAGACGATGAAAGTGTCAAGGATTACATTGCTCAGTTTAACGACCGAGTTCAGAATATGGAGCCTTGTCATCCTAAAACCCTGCTTGTCATGGCTATTGCCGGGCTGAAACCGAACTCGATTTTCCGTTGGACTTTATGTCAGAATAAACCAAACACCTTTCAAGAATTTCTTGCTCGAGCTCAGCAACACATCATAGCTGAGGAAGCCATGTCGGTAGCTGACTTTAATTTTAATCCGAAGTCATCTAAGGCGGGAACTGACGAGAAAAAGAAAAACAAGTTTTTTGAAAAGCAAAACAAGACTCAGTTCAGAGGGCCTCCCCGAGGAGATCCCAACAATCCTGAAGTACGAGCAGCCCGAAAACAGTATGCCACCGATGTAAAATCCGGTTATCAGACCGTATATTCAACTGGGATGCCACCATATACGAAGAAATCAAAGGGAAAGGCATCTTGCCAGATCCCAAGCCACTCCGGATGCCCGAGGAGAAATTAGACAAATCCTGATATTGCGATTATCACAAATCGCCAGGGCACAATACTGATGAATGCTTAAGTTTGTTAGCGGCCTTATTGCGCTTAATCGGCCATCCACAGCTCAGAAAGTTCTACCGCAATA